ATTGTTCCTTTAGAACGCAACTCTTAAGCCTGGTTCAGACAGTTGCGTTTGACTGCGTTTGACTGCGTTGCGGCAGCGAGAAACCAGGACATCCCTGCTGCTTTTATCGCGTGCCATGATGATTCCTTGAATTGGATTCCACGCTTCATACGAAGCACAGATGTGCCGGTGACTCGCTTTCGGTTCTCGACGGAACGCAGTCAAACGCACTCAAACGCAAGTGTCTGAACCGGCCTTTAGGTGCCCGTTTGCGGGTTGAGCGTCGTCGCCTTCGGCGCCGGCGTGGGCGTAACCGAGCGTTGCATTTCGGGACGTGTGACGTCACACGTTACGTCACGAGGGTTACCCTTACGAGCAGGGCCGGCCTTACATCATCAAGCGCCCTGGGCGAACTCCGGCTGTGGCGCCTCCCCCCCCCCCCCACCCCCCCCTTTCTTTTTAATACGCCCCTATCTACTAGGTACGACATGAGGTTGTTGGTAAACATGTGAGTAGTGGGCCAACACGAGCGTTTCGTCAAACGAGAACCGCAGACCAAAAACAAGAAGCGCTGTGTTATAAAAAAAAAAGAAAAAAGGGGGGCGCGGCGGCGCCCCCCTACTGATGACGCCCTGGGCGACCGCACAGGTCGCCCACCCCTAGGACCGGCCCTGCTTACGAGGGAAACACTCACGAAGGTTATCCGCACGAGGGCGCCCTTACGAGGGAAGCCCTCAAGAGGGTTATCGTCACGAGAGTAACCCTCATGGGGGTTACCCTCGTGAGGATGGCCCTCGTGAGAGTTACCTTCGTGAGGGTAACAACCGTGGGGGTAACCCCCGTGAGGGTTACCCCCGTGAGGGTAACCCGTGAGGGTAACACTTGTGAGGGTTATCCCCGTGCGGGTCACGAGGGTAACGTCAAAGCGTTACCCTCGTGACGCCACATGTGTCGTCATTAGGGGAAACACAGGACGTCACGTCACGTGTAACGTCAGCGGATCTAACATTGCCAATATTTCTGCTAAATTTAGCGGGGAAGGAGGAGGCGAATCCCCTACCCCCCGTACCTTCCCTCCTCCTCCTCAAGAGCAGCGCTCCAATTCGTTGTTACAAAAAATTGTAAACGTCTTTCATGTTTTTTGCTCGAATTGATAACTTGTATTGACATATCATGCTGTAGAACTTAGACCTGGGCCTTACTTTTTGCTAGTTTGAACATCGTTCAATAGCAAAAAAAAAAAAAAAAACATTAACTAAATAAATTGCACTTTGATAATGTGAACAAAGCTACATAGAATCCGTTACGAGTAAAGAAACTACGCTAGTTTTATTATTCCCTGGCGAAGAGAAAAATATCACGTCAGGCATGTAGCCAGGAGTTTGTTTCGAGGGGGGGGGGGGGAACCGCCCATGACTACACCGTGCCCATGACAAAATGCTTTATGAGGGAGAGGGGGAGAGAGGAGGTCCCAGCAAAATTGAATACATGGGGGGGGGGGCGGTGCCCATGCCCCCCCCCCCCCTCCCCCCTGGCTACGTGCCTGTATCACGTACGTTTTCCCGTAGGAATACACAGGAAGACTGTCAAAGTATACTGCTTGCTGTCTGCTTCAATTTGCAACCGGAAGTCCCGTAGACACTAGCGCCAGCTGAGCCTCTAGCGTTTATTGTAATAACTTTATGGTTCATCCACGGTATACAGTCAGAGCGACACTTGCGACAAGTCACTGCGAAGTCATTGGGCATCGTCGTTGCGTTTACGCACAGTGTTCCAAACGCTGTTATTCGGAACAAAACAGACATCTCACTATTTTGTTCTCAACGCTTTTTTGTTTGTCTGTTGCGGAGCGCGTAAAAGCGCGTTTCCCGGCACGTACTTTTGGCATTGACAGTGCTACAACAACGTTTTGTTATCGGCAATTTATTTTTTTCAGAGAGCGCGTGCCGTAGGCATAAATAATAAAGAATGATGTTGTGTGTATGTTTATACAGCCGGAAGTTAGTCAGCCCCAACGGGCGACTTGTCTCTCAGCTGTAGACGAGCAATTTAGCCAGTGCAGTACCACCGCCAGCCTGAAGTCTTTTTTAACGTGTAAACACCGTATTTACTCGAGTAATAGCCGCACTATTTATGAACAAGGCCCTTGCATCTACTTTCCTGCGGAACACATATACATCCAATCATCGCGTTGCGCATAAATAACAGCGAGTAACTAGATCGAGAACACGATTCTCCATACAAGTGTAATCTTCAGAAATAGTCTCTTTGTGCGAAGACGTTATCTCTGTCCTGTAAACCGCTGAAATCATGCTGTCAATCGCGGTGATTGGCAATTCGCGTGCCCCGCGGAAAAGCAAACCCTCGGGGTTTCTTCTTAAACAGTGCGGCTAATATTCGAGTAAATACGCTACAACTGCTGCGCCGCCAATGCTACAAGTAACTGTAGTATACAGCTAAAGAAATGCAGGGCGTGGTCTATTATGTTGACGTTTCCTGCGTCGTGATTGGTTCTTCGGCGTTTTTATCGGAAAATGCCGCAATCTCATTGGCTGCAGAGCCATAATGAGGTGCTAGGGGACATGCCACTCTTACGCCCTCAGTGTGACTAAAGCTACGGTACACCTTACACTGTTCAAGAAGTGCTTTGTGTGCTCTACGAGTCCATTTGATCTCTTTTACAGTTGTCGCAGGTAATAAAAAAACAAACGCGGATAGAGAGGAGCGACAGGAAAGAGGGGAGGGGGGGGGGGGACGTAACAGGGATATGGCTGTAACAGATGAGGAAAAGGCTGAAAATAAAAGGTACTTAAGCAAACATAGGTCTCTTTTTGTTTTCTTGCCTGGGAAGAGCTATTTGAGAGATAATTAGCTGCCCTACCCAATTACTTCTAAAAAGAAGCGCTCGAAGGTTGGGGGGAAAAAAAGGGAGGGGGGTACTGGGAGTCGTGTTTCTTTGGTTTTTCTGTCCTACATTATTTAGTTTGTCTCGTCTCTTTTTGGACGGTGCTTTGGGTATCGAGTTAGACCTCTAGTTCCCTAGACACGTCTGGCGTCCGTTGTATTTGTTTTAGGTTGAACTTCCTCGCTTTTTTTTCCTTTTTTTTTTTTTTAGTTGGCGTACACATATAAAGGAAGAGCAGTGTTTTAGCTTAGCGTCGGTACGCGCAATTCGTGAAAAGGCGTTGAAATGCGAAAACTTCTTTCGAAATGCAAGAATGCCCGATTACACCGGCGATAAATATTCGAGCGCCAATACGGATGGTTCAAGCACCCATACCCAGGGACGCCGGAAGTATATCGTGAGTGGGGGGGCTAATGCCATGTTCCTTTTCGTCGTTTTTTGTATGATGTACTATTTTTTTTTTTTTTTACTAAAAAGAATTTAAATATTACGATCTGAGTTTCGTTTGAGAGAAAACACTATCCTAGCGGGTTCGTTTTTGTTCCTTTCACTAGGTCCTTTGCGGTTTCTATTTTCTGCATGAGAACTTCACGATGACACTGCTCGAGAGGCCTTTCAGAACAGGCATCTGGTAGCGATAGGAAAGCGAGGAAACAAGCAGTGTGATTGAATTGACGCATTTACACAAACGGAACTCATGATGAGCTAAGAAGAACTGCGGAATATCTAACCTTGAGTATCTCCGCTTCCTAGGCATGTACGCTTTGGGGCTGGTAGGAAGAAGCTGGTGATCTTCTTTGGATGGCCAGACATTGCATGTAATGCTGGAGTCGAAGAGACACTGACTGACGCTGACTGCATACGCCTCTGACGGGTTGGACCCTCCCGATGTCGTTAGGAGGGTAGGATCAGCCCCGATGATCTTGGAGCTTGGTGGCGGGCACGTTGTTGAATGATGCTCTGACTCGCTGCTTCTCGTAAACTTCAACGTTTATCTAAACCCATTCAACTTGGACGACCACCTCTCTCGTTCCGAGTCGAAGACGAACTCCGCTAATTTCATTTCTCGCTTTTCGCATCACAACTCTAACTTTCCCTCGCTCTCGAAGGAAGAGCCAATAATTTCAAACCTGAAGATCATCACGTGCTCTCGACCGGACCAGTCGCCGGCAAGGACATTTTGAGACCTTCCTAAACGAAAACAACCGTCAAAGCTCGTCAGATATGACAGAAAGCGTCCGGTCCGAGGCGACAATCTGGCGCCACACATGTCTCGTCGCAGTATCCCCCACGCTACGACAACAGCAACACCAACAAAACTATAATCCCTGGGCTCTAGAGGCCCCCATACTAAGCCCCAGTTGGCCCCCGCGCGCCACTCCCCGGCCTTGCCACGGGCAGATCGGGTCCAGCTTGCTCTAAACCCTCGTAGCCGCCGTGCTGATGGACGACGGACATTGGATTAAAAAAAAAGCGCGCTCCCGAAACTAATTGTTCTTGTCTAAAATCTCTACGTGCGACAAGACTGTGCCTTGCTGCTCCGTGGCTTGCACACGCACGTGATGCCTTCGTGACGAGCGCCTGGCTGGCGTTATATCCCCGAACTATTCTTATGAGGGCAAGGGGGCTGAGCCCCCCCATAAGAATACTTGGGGGGGCTCTGGCCCCCCCTGCCCCCCTTCTTCCGGCGTCCCTGCCCATACCCATCTCAATACACATCATGATGGGTATTGAGACTTCACGTATTATGCGCTAAAAAAACTTCTACGTGCTTTTTGTTCACTACTGTTTACGTGTTGGGTTCGTTCCCATACAGAAGTTAAATGCCCGTGTTATTTTAGTAAAGTTAACGAATGCATTAAGCGACATCGAGTCGAAGGTGAAGGGAGAACAATGGTCGCAGCTGCGTACTGCAATAAGTAACTAAAAAAAGATTATTCTCATCGAATAATAGTGCGCTGGTAATACTACAACAAATAGCAGAAACACGACTAAGAGAGGACAAGACCATTTGTTGATTTTCGCCTATCTACGCGGTGAATGTCCGAGTGGCGTGTTTATCTCGTATACCTGATACGGGTTCATCGGTGCTCTGTCTTCCCCGTTCCCCTAACAGGGCGTTCAGCGAGCGACAGCATGCACCTGGCCGGCATCCACCGCCTGCTGGGGCTGCTCCTGGTGGCGGGACTCTGCGACGTCCGGGCAAAGGTACGTCGGCGCAGCGCTATAGCCACAGCGCGTCTTTCCTATTACCATACGCCTCGTTGCTCTTGCTCGGCAGGAGAGGCCTGCTCGCTCCGAGTGGTTAGAGCTTTGCGCGTGAACACCGGAACAGCGCCGAGGGCACCGTCAGAGTAAACCGGAGTCCGAGTGCCTGGACCTCACACGAGAGAATTATCGGCGCACACGCCTCACGCGAGTTCGGCGCATGTTTGCGCGCTTCGAACACGTGTGCGGACAGTAGAGAGTTTTAGGGAGCCGTTTTTGCTCATCCGATACGGTACGGTTGGCCCTCCGGCATGAACTGCGCATGCGCGATGGGACGGGGCCGTCACGCGGAAAAGAGACGCCTCAGATGGTGTCGGGCTGACTGTAGTTTGTATAATCTATGAGCATTGTGACACGCGGCTGAAAAGAGACCACTAGAGAAGCCCCGACTCAAACGGGGCCGGGAAGAGCGCATTCTATAAACTTCTCAGTCCTGTGTATGTGCAGGTCTAAACAACGATGGTAAAATATCGATAATTATAAGTAAATAATAATTAAGGGTAAAGCACGCTAAGTCATCCATGCTCCATTCTGGTCGACGCCTCTCCCACTTCTAAAGCGAGATATAGCTAGAGTATACGTGAGATTGCCCTAAAGGGGAGGAGAGCCGTCGAAGAAAAACTAGCCGATCTATGGTCAGCGCAATTTCTCTTTCCACCACCCAACCCGTCTGAATTCAACAGATGTTAAGAAACGAGAGTAATGTGTCTGAAGTATACTGAGATCAAAGGGGCCCTCCGATGATTTTTCGACTGGTTTGGAATTTGCGCTGAGGCGGAGCTCATCGAACGAAAAAGTTCGAAGGAAAATGTTTTTTTCTTCTTCTGGAATTGCGATTTCTTTTGGCAGTTATAATCAAATTAAGATTACAGAAGCGAGCAAAACATTTGATCTCCTTGACGTGTTACGAAGAATTCATTGATTGGAGGGTTGGTGCGAAGCGGGTGGCCAATTGGCTGCGGGTTAGGTTCGTGGCGGCCGCATTGAGGACGGGTACGCACCGTCCGCCATAGACCTTGCATCGTCCTAGATTCAGGCTCCGAACGCGATCGTGCCGACGTCGGCCACTACGCCGCGTCTCCCTCACGCCGCCGCGCTGAGAAGAGCCCGACGATACGGAGTCCAACGCAGTCGCGCTCTGCTCCGTATTTTTTCTCGCTTCCGCCGATCGTTACCTTTGTATCTACTCGCTCTTCGAACGCGTTCGAAATCCGAACGTCGGCGTACGGTGTTAGGCGTTCACGTTCCAATCATTCCAGTCAGAGCTCGGCGCCCTGGCGTATCCGCGCGCTCTCATTCTCTCATCTTCCTGAATTTCTCACTCTTGGTGTCTACGAGACTCCGCATCGTCGCGTGCGGCTATATAGACCCTGTCTGACTGTCGTTCACTTGCGCTAGTCTTTTTTTTTTTGTTCCCATTATGGCTGGCCAACCATGAAACAGCGGAATAGACGCTCTTTTTCCCCGCACATGTCACCAATATAGCCGCTGCGTTTGCACTCATTATGGAAATCTGAAAAAAATGAACCTTTTACGACCGCGGTGCGCGCTCAACCTTAGCCTCGTTATCCAAATGTCCGTGCGTGACAAAAAGCGCTAATTCAACACGCAGGACCAATCTTGCGTCGGAGTACCGTTCACTACCGCTCATAACTGAACGAATAAAACAGTAATGAAACACTTCCCGAAGCCGAGACTCGGCGACGGCGGACGTTCGCTGCGCTTTCGGAATCTCGTTATTATTTCCAACTCAACGTCCCGGGCCATCTCGTTCACGAAGCTGCCAGTCTCAGCGCTTCCTCGAACGCATTCGGCTATAAACTCTTTCTCATCTTTTATATATTGTTTATATATATATTTTTTGTTTTGTTAAGCAAAATCGTGGAGTCCGTGGGGAGAGAAAGCGGGGTTGAGGCGAACAAAGGGGATGGCAGCAACAGCAGTACAGCAGCGGCGGCGAAGCACAAAGCGAGCGAGCGGGCTGTATAGCTGCAGTCGCGAACGGCGGCCGCTCTGCTGCCCCTGTCTTATCGTAACCGGCTTACGAGTCCGCGGTTCTCGCGAACTATTAATTAGCGCGTGGAGGGTGAGCGGGGCGTGAAACAATGATCAGCGCTTTTGTTCCTCGAACTCTTTTGTCGAAGATGGCGGCGGTCGCCGTCTTCGTACGGATGCTAATGAGCGCTCGAACAAGACACCCGCGGATAGCACCTGAGTGCCATAGTTCGCGAAATGCTATACGTGTGAAGAGGACCAAGGATAAGGTGAAGTGCTAGACACGCGGGAAAGAGCGGTACCGGTGGGCCAGTTTCTGATCGTGTCGCTGTGATTTAGATGTAATGGTTTTAATGTTGAGAGGGAAATACGGCCGCCGAAGCGCAAAGGCGAAATGCACTGTAATGACGTGTGTTTGGGAACAGAAATTTAAGCATTGAGGAAAGACGGGAGATAAAAAAAAGAAAAAAGAAAAAAGGAGGACAAAGACGCGATTTCTAACGGTTAACAGATGAAAGTATGTTCTCTTTGCCAGTAAAACTGTCAAAGAAATTTTGAGTTTTTTTTTTTTTTTGGCAGCACATGCCCCAAGACAAGCGGCGTTCGCCGTGCTATGTCGGCAGATTGGAGCATGCAGCGTCACATCGTTTAACGGAGGTTTTTGCGGGTATTCTTTTTTTTTTTTTTTTTACCGTCTTCTCAATAATAAACTTAAGGTACGTTTATACTCCAACGTAACGTCGCCGGGCGCGGCGTAGCGCAGCGCGCACAGATATTGATTGGTCGCTGATAACGAGTTCCTGGTCGCCGGCCAATGAAAGGCGCGCGTTCTGCGCTACGCTGCGTTCACTGCGGTCAATGTCGGAGTATAAACAGCTCTTTATTCGTACGTTTGCCCCTTGTTTGATATGCCAACTTCAAAACCAGTTACATCCCGAAACAAACCAAACAAATCACCATTGTTCGCTGCCGAAATTTCGCTACGCAAAACCATAGTTAAAAAAAAAAAAAAAATTAGCCCCATTTGCCGCACTTTCGTGGCAAAGACGGTGGTAATAGAGAATGTATCGCGTGTTGCTTCACAATATATGTTGCACGGATGAACTATACTTCGTCTCACCTTAGTATGGACTATTGTTAGCCGCGCGTGCTAAAAGCGCGAGCTAGTCGATTTGAATGAAGCCGCGGCGGCTGCACGAGTGCTCGTGCAGCAAGTGCTTTAGTCAAGGCAGTCAAGGCTGGCCGCTCGCGCTAGCACAGCCTTCGCGGTTAGTCCATGCTAGGGTGAGACGAAGTATAGGTACGCATTTCGTGCCTCAAGTGCACGAACAGCTTCGCACGTAGCGTGTTTGAAAGAAGACACTGGCAAAGCTCGCGCTCCAACAGGAATATGAATGCGAAGCCCTCGCATCTTGCTGTCCCACACCCCACGTGCTATTACGCGTCTCCCTATTGCCTAAGAAGCACGACTTTGTTCCCTTCCCCCACGGTTTCTGCATACTCTCCCACCATATTTGTGGGAGAGCCCTCCTTCTACGGGTCCTCGATAGTAAGGCTGTTGTGCTGAATTACGTCACCCATTGGAGGCCAGTGCCAACCCACTACTAAACACTCTGGTAAAGAAGGAAGACCAGCGGAGCTGTACAATGGAAAGTGATGGCCGGCCGCAAGTCAGCAAGCCAGAGTGGAAAGGCAACCGCCATATATGAGCGACGGCGGCAACCAGATACGTGACTTGCCGCCGTCGCTCATAGATGGCGGTAGGTGTCCAGAGTTCGGTGTCTTCATTTCTTTGCGGGGGACACGATACTGGGGAAACTAGCCCTTAACAGCTCCGCTGTAAAATTGGATACGAGTACTTTGTCAATGTTCAGCTGGAAGTCGTGTTCAAATGAGCCAAGACGCAATTTTCAGCCGAACACTAACGCAGCGTTCGTGTCCCATGTGTGACACTCTTACGTTACAGGAGTGAGTGCGTTAGAGGAAACTGCCGGGAGCCAGTCATATAAAATATTGCATGTCAAAAGAAGAAGAGAGAAAGTGGGAAGGCAATATATAATGTGCGATCCGTATTCTCTTGACTGCGCTATGTTGGCTCTTTTGAAGGGGAAAAATCTCAGCCCGCGAGAATGTCATTGTATAGAAGAACTTTGCTCGCCAGCAGAGATTCGCCATAGGCATAGCATAGCCTCCTCTACACTCACAAAGCCTGGCAGTTCGATGAGGGAGCCATAGAGTGCCCGGTCGCAGATTTAGAGCGCGAGGATCTGGTAGAAGAGAGCATCAAAGAGCCATTTCTCGTGGAACCTAGACGTCAGCGCACAGCTTTTGCAGTGGCAAGGACCCGAAACACACTTTCGGGTCCTCGTGTCTCACCGCAGCGGGGCACCAGTCACCTGGCTCTCCTCTCATCCGTTGTCTGCCGCACCACCTTTTCCATTTCAGCGGCCGCGTCTTGTGGCGATCTGCCAGGCTTTCTCAGTATAGAGGAGGCTATGGTTTGTGGCATATTTACACATCGGGACGCGAGACGCGCTCCCAATAAAATTGGAAAAATAAAGAACGCGAAAAACAAATGCTGTGGCTAATTCTCTTTCTGTCCCTGACAAAGCGAACGAACACGCAAAAGAGCACATTTCCCGTTATATATGGGAGATGTTTATAGTCTGATACAGGTTAAGAACGCGCTACAAGCTCCTCCTCACACCATCATTGACGCCAGCCACCGTTTCTCCACGATGCGGAACTAGTCCGCTTTGAAGTTATGTAACTCGTCAGGCATGTACTTCCTTCAGGTTTGGTTCGCGGCGCAAATCAATGCCGCGGCTAGCACGTGGTCGTGTTTTGAGACACTATATTATATCTAAGCTACGTGTTTATCTGGCGCATTCCTAATCTCGTATGCGACTACAGAATTTTATATCTCGGAGACCCTCACAGCTGCA